CTATATCGCGATATATATTTTACAGCAGGCACTTAGTTTTTTTCGAATTACGACCCAACGGACAAGACGATAAAAAAAAAAAAAAAAAAAAAAGAGTTACGTAAAAAAAAAAAGGGACAAATGGAGATGCATATTTATGCGCGAGGCTTTTTCAATATGTCTCTGAATAAAAGCTTTTGTCGCGCGTGTCGCGAGTGGAAATGCAAAAGTATGCATAGTGCTGGCGGTGCCAGCGCAAAGTTTCACGCCAACATGGCGCGCATCCGACACGTTTAATCCAATTCACCGTGTCTCTCGAATGTTTTTCGTTGCCGTCTGTCGTTCGTCGTACGTGGGCGACTTTGAGTCGCCTTTTCTCAGAAGGAAGTGCGTGGGTTGCTGACACAGAGATCAAAGCGATTTCGTCCAATTGGTTACGTCCGCGAAACGAGCGGGCTACGCTGTCACCCGATTCCCGTGCACGCGTTGCACTTTGCAAACGCATGTCAAAAATCGAACGCGATATCGTCCGATTTGAAACTGGAGCTGATAGCGTAATTCTGACTAACGAGCGAGACGTCTCTAGAATTTTGTCTCTCACTTATAGCTGTTCCGTTTGATCGGCTAATTGAGTCTTGATCTCACATTCAAAAATGAAAATGAGAAAAAAATATTTGAAACTTCAACACAAAATTTGTTAAAACAATTTTTATAAAAAAAACAAACATTTTTCGACTTCAAATTATTTATATTAAAGACAAAATCTTGACGATAAATTAAATTAGTGGCTTCAGAATAGATAGAAAAAAATCTATATCCGAAAAAATATGTAGAAATAATTATATCATATCGAGTCCTTTTTTTTTTTAAAGTTCTCGAATATAATGCGGAAAATACAGATTTGTAAATGGTTAAACATTGGAACTTTCAATTAACATCGTCATGAATTTAATATCGGATCATCGCGATTGACAGTTGAACATCACTTTGTCACTGTCTGTCGTCTATCATAATTCAATCAATCTATTAACCAAAGCTCATTGATTCTGAAATTTTCAAATGCGTTGTGATACATTGCAGAAAAGTGTCAGTAAATTACATTAAAGTATTGAATTAAACAAATTCTAAGGAAACCATAAAATGAACTTCACCGAACAATACAGACAGAAGATCCTCGCATTTATTATGCCTCCTGTCGAGGGTCCGATTTCGGGATGGAAAGGATACGCTCTTCGAATTACGGTGCTTGCAGTAGGAGTCGGGATTTACGTCCTGTTATTCAAAAGGAACAACTCATCTAGCAGACGATGGGGTTTCCGAGGAACGCAAGAAACTCAAGCCAAGCCGAATGACAATTCGAGTATCGAAATAATAAAGTATTATTTTTAAGAGACTTATAATACTTCTTCTATTGTTTTAAATTAAAAATAACTTTCTAATGAAACAATCGTCCTGAATTAATTAAATTTGCACGATGTAAAAAGAATACGTTTTATCCGGACAACTTGAAATAGATTAAACGGAAAATACAGAATGTTATTTTACCGATTTCTTATTTTAATATATAAATTGATGTTTGTTTTAATTTACTTTGTTTAGTAACGTATTTTTCTCTCTTAATTTAACCAGTTCATTTATTTTTACGTAATATTTCATGTTTCACCGCAGGCAGATATTTATGTTTGCTCTTTATTACTTCGATCAAAATTATCCTTTACATAATTATGTTCTCGGAATAGCAACATATACTGTAAAATATATACATATATGTGTGACCGTACACCATTACTCTCTTGGCAGTGATGATAAATTCAAAGACACATACGGTGAAGTCTGTCCGATTTGTTTGGGAGTGCCAAAGATTGGCGTGAAAGCTTCTTGCGGCCATTTGCTGTGTGCGGAATGCCTGGCGAATTATTGCGATGTTAGAATCGCACCTATGCCACCACCTTGCCCATTGTGCAGAGCGCCGTTGAATTCGGTGGCCTTGGCCTGCGATTTTGTTAGTATAACACGCTACTATTTACCGCTAAGCAAAGTGATAGTGAGCTCTATTATAGCCAAGACGCAGCAAAATGCAAAAATAAGGGAGTAAAAAAAAAAGAGAGAGAAGCGTAGGAAATATTTCTAATACAAAAAGAAATATCTGTCTTATTTCACCGTGTATTCTAATCGTGTGATTGATAAAATAAAATGAAATTTGAATATTTTATATATATTTTTATATTTTTCATTCTCGATTCAAAAGTATATATTTATATTAGACATATTTGCCTAAAGAGAAATAATAATCGAAAATCTAATATGAAGTAATTTATTAAAATTATTGTATATCTGCATATAAAAAAAACTGCGGATACTATATTGATTTAATTATAGTCTACCCTAGGTCCCAAACACACGTTAGACCAGAAAACCATCGTAGTAAAAGAATGGATACGCGAGTACAATAATCATCGAGGTTTAGTGACGTCGGTACGGCCGCTTCTGACGACAAGACTCACCCTTTTCTTTAATATTTTGACTCTCTTTCTGATTATCGGACTGATCGCCGCGAGGCTTCAGGTTCTTGCGGAAATATAAATTTTGCTTTAAAATTCTTACTACGTAAAATTGTTTTTACTTGTTGCCACAAAATAAAAAAAAAAAAAGAAACGTGTAATTTACCGTTAATGCCTTTTGTAAAATAAATAATATATCCTTCACAAAACTATTTATTGCAAATCTAAGAATGAGTAATGAAGAAAAAAAATACATAATGAGGCACGTGCCATATGATAATGACAATACTAATATCTGATTCGACGTATATAGATAATGTCCTGGGAAAATTGAACGTCATATGCTTACATTACCGATATCGATAATTATGTTAATTATATGCGTCTAGTTCAAGAGCCAAGGTTAGTTGCAAAACGAACAAATCTAAATTTACTAGAATACTTTAGAACGAAAATTTACGAGTTTTAAAAATATCAAGAAATATCATTGTACTATGTTGTTAAACAGTAAGAAGTTCAGACTTCATTTTCTAATTTATAAAATAATTATAAAATAAATAATTTTCAGATTTCTTTTTCTTTTAAAAATTATTAATTGAATTTTTCTTCTTTTTTCAGAAAGAAAAAGCTTTAGATAAATTCTTCTCGCACAACTGAGTACGAATTATATGAAAAATAAGGTCTCCTATTAGTACATAACGTATTATGTTGTATTAAGAACGCATATCTCATAAATGTATATCTTGTGAAGAATAATTGACATTTTGTCAGTGGCATCGGTATGTTGACGAATTAAACAAGAATGCAAACCAAGCAAATTTTTTAAATACTTTTCTTCAGATTTGCTTTATTTGTTTGTGAACGTATCTGTAAATATATAAAGTGACAAAATGTGTATAAGAGACATTTTTTGTATGTTTTTTATGTACCGCCCATGAGTAATATAAAAATTTAATAAACTCACACAAACATAAATATCATAGTGTTTACCTTATCATAGTGTTTATCTTATGTTTTTATTTCATAATAAAGAAATTTTTCATAAAACAGATTAATTAATAAAATTAAAGATCAAGTTATTAATTTATTAAGGTAATTCTGAATGTAGACATTCTATAATAATTATAAAATCTCTTTGAGAAATCTCAAGAAATTATAAAAATAGTTGAAACATTTAAATTACCATTATCAATTAAAATCGCAAACTATTGAAAATTTAGATTTCGATTATTTATAAATGCCAGTGTATATAATGCGTGCGATTAAACTTAAATTAACCCTCATTCAGCTGACACGAGTCATTTTTATCTACGCGAAGGCCATAATGAAATATGTAAAATGTATGCAACATAGCAGAATATTATTTTATACATAGAATATACACATAAATAAAACAAATAGTATATTTACAGAATATTTAGAGTTTTTCAAACATATTTTCTTGCATGTATTGATATCTTATTAGCATGATATCTTATTTAGTATAATAGAAATTAATTCTAAAATCTTTATGTATAATGATAATTTCAATGTGAGTCAAAAATGACTTGTATCAATATATTGTGGATTCCATCATGGAGACAATTGATGTTTTACCCGGTAAAATCGATTCTGTTCCACTGAAAAACGCGACAGACTTTAAAACTAGTACTATTAATGTTATAGTACTATATTCACTGCCTCATGTTCGTAATTTTAATAACAAATTCTTTGAAAGAAAAATTTGATAAAAAGAATAATAATAATTATTGTACTTTTCGAATTAATTATTACTAAGTTGCTGAAATAGTTGACTTCTTTGATAGCTTCTATTAAATATCGTGGTTGACAAAGAACCTCTTAACTCGAACATTCATTATAAAGTTTAGTATTCTAATATTAAAATAAGTTATTAAAAAATAAATATAAAAAAGATGATCATATAACATTTTAATTTATAATATTTTTATCACTAAAAAATTATATTATTTTTATCTATCGAGAATGAAATATGCTTCTATAATGCCTGCTTGGCAGAAAATTACAGCGACAAAAATAACATCATCACAAGATTTTTAAATTATTTATATAAATATCTATGCATCATATTTATAGAAAAAGAAAAATATATATCATGAGATAACGAAAAGTTGTGACAATTTCGTTTAAAAAAAGTAAATGTATGCACATTGAGGCTAAATATATTTAACTGTTAATGTTAAATTAATGTTTTGCTACTTGTGCTATATTTATCCTTATTTAACATATTGATATAAGAGATAATTGCTCGTCTTTTTTTTTTTACTTTCAAGCTAGAACTGATTGCAACGGTATACCGCAGTTGCAGAATATCAGATATACGCGATATATATTTACTTCTCGGTGGATTCTCCGCAGCATTAAAGCTGGCCTTCGTGGAAATATTGGCGTCCTTGAACTTAATTGCGATGTAACTAAAGCGCGCATGATCGATCGAATTCAATCGAAACTCAACTCGGTTGCGGTAATCTCAAACTTTCTCGTGTATTCCGAGTAAATTTCTGTAATAGTTATTCATCTCCGTAATTCGTTTCAACAACATTCGCGGAAGAGGCAAAGGATATACGAATAATATGCTACGCAATACGATATCGACTACTATCACTAATTAATTAAATGTTTTCCGTTCTTCTTTTAAAATCACAAATATTTAAGCTTCTTCTTATCATCCTACATTATACGTCAAAGGTCTTGTCTCTCGCCCTCGTCTTAATTCTTTTTCTCATAAAAAATTTGCATCCGTGAATTGCATCTATGAATTTCTCTTACATTAATAATAATTCTTTTTATATATAAAATTTATATTACAAATTGTTTCTTCCTCATGCCCGTCTCTAAAATCATATTGTTATAGAAATGCATCAATTTTTTAATTGATGCATTACAACTCAAAAGTTCAAAAATAAATATTTAAATGTAAATAAAAATTAGAACATATTTTCCTAACTATCTCGCTTCAATGTCAAATTATCATTTTTTATAAAGATTATCAATAATTTTTCTCATCTCATAAAAATTATCAAAAATCTTGGAGAATTCGTACGCAATAATCTCTATTACATAAATATCGCGCGTACTTTCCTAACCCCGTTTCAATGTGAGAGATGTTTTATTATCATTTTTATAAATATTTTTTAGTTTTTATCTCGTTTCACAAAGATTACCAAAAGTGTCGGAGAATCCATTATAAATAAATATTATTTTGCGTATTTTGCATAATCGCATCGGTCATATATTACTCGAATATCTTTTGCGGCAGCGCGTGTTTTTATGTAGCTGATTACAACTCGAAAGTAAATATTTAAATATAAAAAACATAAACTAAAACATACTTTCCTAACTATTTCGTTTCAATGTGAGAAACATTTTATTGACACTTTTATAAAGATAATCACGTTTTTGTTTCGTTTCACAAAGTCGTTACCAAAAAGTCTCGTAGAATCCGAGACGCAATACTCGATTATACATAAATATTACGTATTTTGCATAATCGCATCGGCCATACGTTATCTCGAGTATCGTCTGCTATAGTGTGCGTGTTTTCACGTAGCTAATTACAACTCGAAAATAAATATTTAAACGTAAAAACTAAAACGTACTCTCCTAACTATCCCCGTTTCAATGTGAGAGACCTCTTATTCTCATTTTTATAAAGAGTATCACGTTTTTGTCCCGTAGTCGTTATCAAAAAAGTCTCGGAGAATCCGACGCAATAAATCGATTATACATAAATATTACGTATTTTGTATAATCGCATCGACCGTACGTTACCTCGAGTATCTTCTGCTGCAGCGCGTGGCCGTGCAGGCTGGCGGTGTCGGCGGCTGCTGCGTGATAAGCGCCGGAAGTCAAGGTGGCCGTGGCCGCGCCTCCTCCGCCACCGGCGCCCAAATCCCGCGGTCGTGGCATCGGCGAGCCCGGCGTGTCCCTGGCCATCTCTGTGCACATGTAACAACAACACACGTCCGGTAACATGCCACGGTGAGTGCCGCCGCCGCCGCCACCACCACGGCGATGGTGGTGGAGGATCGTCCCGTAGTGATGATGCGCACCGACAATCTTCACGCCCGAGCCCTCCGCGCGCGGATATCGACCGAACACGTTTGCCCGTTCCACGTAAACTTTCATGCTTCTTTCCTTTTTTTTATTTTTTTTATTATACGGATTGTTTTTCTCGACTTCTTATCAATCACCTCCGCCGATACGAACAAATTGATAAACAAATTGATCTTCGAATTGGGCTCGAATAAAATTTCCCAACTCTGATGTACGTTGTATGGAGACGCACGCTTTATTTACAAACTAAAATATGCGACTGTAATTTGCGTGGGAAAGAAGACGATTCATTGTAATCAATCAAGATTAGGAGTCGTAACAACTGGTATTAAATTCAATCTCGCTTCAAAACATTCTCGCATTCCTTCCGTTGTCGTCGCTGGGAGAGAAGTTACTTCCAGTAACTCACTTATTGATGTCTTGATAATTATTATCAGTATTAACTTCCAATAACACTTGACACGATAAAAAGAAAGTTCATTTCCTGTCACTTAAGTATTATTTCAATCGTTTCTTATCGATATTAATTCATTAACACAGGTCACAATATTAGCAGTCTGCACTTAGTCGAGCGTAGAGCATAAGAATATCGAAGGAGAAATCGTCTATGACACTTGTAATTTTTTACTTTATCTCATTTGGAAGTCCTTCGGCGTCCGAGATATTTATAAAACGCCAAGATAGAAAATATATCGAGGAATCTAGAGATCGATTGGACGATTGGAAGAAGTAGAAATTTTTTTGTAAAATTCCTTCGTTTTTCAAAACATCCAAGTTTCTCGGAAACGCGTGATTATAGCGCACTCGCACCTTGCCGCGTTGTTCTTTCTTTTCGTTTCTTTTTCCGGGTATTCGGACTACCAATTTTTGAAACGACCTAGCGGAGCTACTGCGTGAGAAGACCGCGTCCCGCGTGGCTTCTCTTCTTAGACGTCCCATCGCATCCGGCTCGAATGAAGAGACATCCGGGAATGGGGAAAACGGTCGGGTGTTTTCCTCCACGGCTGTTATCTTAGATAAGGTGGAACAAGGTGGAATTCGAGCGCGACGGCGCGTGTCGCCGCGGCGATATTTATCCGCTCCGATAACCGCTCGAGGTGCGATAGCGCGGTTATTTTTAACCATTTATTACGCGCAATGCGCGCGTACGCCACATGAGCGGCCGCTTATCGCTCGCTCGATTTGCGCGATTTTCTCTCCTCCCGACTCGCTTCCCTCTTCGCGCTTGGTCGCGTTTTTTTATAAACTTTCACGTCTGCGTCCACATCCAGGTTTAAAAGACTCGGGAAGACTCGGGATCTCGGTACGAAATGGGAGGATTCTTCCGGAGGAAATCGCCCGTATGCGCTCCGTTCCGCTCCGATCGCGATCACCTTTTATCACAAGAGATCCAAATTCAAGCTCTGTATGTCACGTACAGCTACGTCGCCGATGTGTTTGTGATCGTATCGCACGAAATCGCACGAGAATTTTTTGCTACAAGTTTTTTCCTCCAATGCGGCTAGAGAGATTACTCTGGGGGACAAATTACGGAAGTTTCCGAGACACGAGTGTCTCGATAAAACCACTCCGCGATTCTGGTAATCGCGCCAAAAAAACTACAAATTTCACTGTTCATCCGCTCGCTCCACGTGATGCACACGTTCCCGAGCTTAAACTCCGCAAATTATCGTTCAATTGCACTCTATTATCACCTCGCGCCGATCGACTCGGAGAGTGAATTTTTATCCCGAGTAGTCACGCCGGCTTCGGAGTGTCTCCCTCGTGATCCTCGCTGAAATCCGCGTGATCGCGATGGAACTTCACAGGTGGGACATCCACGCGACACGACGCGGTCGTTCTCTCGCGTCTCGAGCGCGCGCGCGTGCAGGAAACGACGGCGGCGAGACGAGGCGAGGGGAGGCGGCTTTATATACGCCGCTCGCGACTCGGTAAAAGCAACGGTCAACGCTAAATTTAGCCCGCACTGGAAGC